TCTCTCTCTCTCTCTCTCTCTCCTCTCTCACTCTCTCTTTAAAAAAAAAGAATCTTCCAAGATAAGCAAAAACAAACAATTCTTCACTATTTTACAGCATACTTAAAGAAATACTACACACAGAACTCAAAAACCCCAGATCTGACACATGAACAACTATCACTTGAAGTGTGACTAAACAAATGAGAAATTAAATAGAAATTAAACAGGTTCAAATTATACATTAGAAATAAACCAAAACGACAGAAATTAACAAATATCTCTTCATAATAACATTGAATGCAAATGATCTCAATTCTCCAATTAAAAGACATAGACTGGCAGACTAGATTAAGAAACAAGAGCCAACTATATGTTGTTTGCAAGAGACTCACCTTATAGTAAAAGACAGCCACAGACTGAGAGAAAAAAAGTTGGAAATTGATATACCATGCAAATGGCACCCAAAACAAGCAGGAGTAGCTACTCTCATATCCAAAAAAAGTATGTTTCAAGTCAACATTAATCAAAAGAGACAAAAAAAAAAATGTCACTTCAAACTGGTAAGTGGAGCAATCCAATGTAGGCTGCTTTCAGAAATAGAAGAAAGGAAATGGATTATCCCCTGGGGTCTCCAAAAGGAAGCAGCCCTGTCTATAACTTGACATTAGCCCAGTGAAACTGGTTCCAGATTTCTGACCTCTGAAAATTTAAGAGGACTGATGTGGAGTTTTTCTCCCATTTTGTTGTTGTTGGTGGTGGTGTTGGTGGTGGTGGTGGTAGTGGTGGTGGTGGTGGTGGTGAATGTGGTGGTGGTGGTGGTGCATTATAACTGCACCTAATGGTATGATTCATAATATTACATATTCATACATGCACATGATGTGACAATATAATTTGACGAATATCATTCCCTAGTATTTCCTCCCTCCCTTCCTGCCTACCTCCTATCCTCTTATCCTTTTCCTCTTATGATCTTTTGATTTTAGATCCCCACCCATCCCTCTTCTTTTCTTTTTTTCCTCTCTAGCTTCCACATATGAAAGAAAATATATGACCCTTGACTTCATGAGTTTGGTTTATTTTGCTAACATAATATTCCAAATTTCATCCATTTTCCAGCAATGGACATAATTTCATTCTTCTTAACAACCAAATAAAACTCCATTGAATATATATGTATATATATCCTACATTTCCCAGGTCCCGGCTCCTTCCTCCAGACTCAAAGTCCACAGTGTAGCATGTTGCTTCCATTGTCTTGCTGCATGCTTCTATAGTCAAATCTCCCTTTGCCTGTCTCTTATAAGGACACTTATGGTTACATTTTAGGACAACCTGGATAATCCAGGATAGTTCTCCATCTGAGGATTCTTACACAGTTCCTTTCGCCATTTCAAGTAGCATTCACAGGTTCTAGGGATTAGAACTTGGATTCTCTTAAGGATTATAAGCCTATCATAGACTCTGCTTATCTACAGTGAGAGGAAGTCAGGGATCCAATCCTTCCAGATATGATGATTAAACATCCACTCTTCTTAGAACAACTGGATTATTATTAAAATGACTGACCTTGACTCAAAAAGAAGAGGAGGAAATAGGAAACAGAAATAGACTGAGGATGAGCCAAGAAGATTAGATTAATGTTGAGCCAAAGATTCCTACCCTCTTAGAGACCACGTAAACCCCCCCATCCTTTGAGAATAAAATTAAAACTTTTAAATCTCCCCCTCAAAATGCCAGACTCCCAACATGCAATGTTAAATGTTTCACAGACTCAGTGAAATCCACCAAGGATAAAAACATGCTATGTACCATCAAAGCAGACCTAACAGCATTAGCTGGGTGTCCAGATCACAGTCTTCCCATCTCTGTATCTATTGCTTATCCCTAAAGGAATTGGCCTTCTGCTGATTCTTGCAGAATCTAGGTTTGTCACAATAGCAGGAACTAGTCATCAAGAAAATATCTTTGGCATCTGCTGAGAATGGGACCCCCTAAAATAAACCACAAAAAAATCTTAACAGAGATTCTGGAAAATCTAGGTTTATGCCATAATTTCCACTTTCATTTAATACACAATTAAAATGTACATATTTAAGTGGTTGTGAGAATTTTATTTTCAGAAGCTATCACATTAGATACACTAAGATGCTTACCTAAGACAAATAAAAGCAACTCTTCACTTATAAGAAAAAGGCAGACAACCCAATAGAAAAAGTAGCCAAAGGCTTGAAAAGATTGTTCACAAAAGAGAATAATAGAGCTCTATTTCATTAGTTACCCAAGAACTGCAAAAATTCATCAGATAACACAGTATACCACCAAAATGTCTAAGAGAAAAATACAGATAACATCAAAAGTTGGTTAGGATGTTGAGCAAGAGGCATTATCACAATTAACACAAACACTTTGGAAAACTGATGATAGCATCAACCAAAGCTTAACATGTGCCCTTCTATAGCCCAATAATTCAAGGGGAAAAATGTGTATATATATTCATCCAAAGAAATGGTTTAAAATGTTCTAACAGCACCATTATTTTTTATTTTTTAAAATCATTGTAGATATACATAATGAAATTCACCATCTAAACCACTTATAAGCAAGTTTCCAGCAATTGACATAATTTCATGTGTATAATTCAATGGCATTAAGCACATCCTCATTATTATACAACCTTCACCACTCCTAATCTTTAGAATTTTTCCAATTCTTCATAAATTGAAACACTATACCCATTAAACAGTAACTCCCCATCCTTCCACCTTCAGCCTCTGTCAATTGCGATTCTGCTTTCTGTCTCTGTTTAGCTACACTTGTAGGTATGTCGTGCAAGTGGAATCATATAGTATTTGTTCATTTGTTACTCACATTTCACTAAGCATATTATGTTCAGGGTCCATCCATGTTATAGCATGTCTCAGATTTCTCTTTGTTTAAGGCTGGATTGTGTTCTGCTACGTGCACATGCCACACTTTATTTATCCATTCATCCGCCGATGGACACATTTTTGCTATTGTGCATAATGCTGCTGTGAACATGAATGTACAGATTTTTCAGGCCCCTGGTTTCAATTCTTTGGGGTATATGTCCTGCAGTGGATTTGCTAGATTATGTGAAAATTCTTTTTTTTTTTTTAAATTTTTGAGGAATCTCAGTACTGTTTTCCATAGAGCCTTCAATGTTTTGCATTCTTCCCCAAAAAGCATACATGTTCCAATTTATCAACATCCTGGCCAATGATTGTTATTATCTGAGGGTTTTTTAAAAAATATAATAGCCATCCTAACCTGTAAAGTGCTATGTCATTTTGATTTTGACTTGAATTTCCTTAATGATTAGTGATGGCTGAATATCTTTCATGTGCTCATTGGTTATTTGTATACCTTCTTTGGAGAAATGTCTATTCAAATTCTTGACTATTTTTCAGTTGGATTATTCAATTTTTTGTATTGAGTTTTGTTAATTCTTTACATATTCTAGGTGTTAACCCCTTATGTTATTCACAAATATTTTCCCATTCCAGGTATTGCTTTTTTGCTCTGTTAATGTCCTTTGATGCTCAAAAGTTTTAGACTTTAATATTGTCCATTTTAACTATTTTATCCTTTGTTGCCTACGATTTTGGTGTTGTGACCAAGAAATAATTGACAAATCCAATGTCGTGAAGTTTTCCCTATTGTTTTCATCTAAGAGTTTTATGGTTTTTAGCTCTTATACTTGTGTCTTTTGTCCCTTATAAGTTAATTTTTTTAATATAGTGTGAAGTAAAGGCCTGGCTTCATTCTTTTTCATGTGGCTGTTTAGTTTTCCCATCACATTCTTTCTTTTTTAATTTTTTGTAGATATTGATGGGCCTTTATTTTATTCATTTATTTATATGTGGTGCTGAGAATCAAACCCAGTGCCTCAGACATGCTAGACGAGCACTCTACCACTGAGCCACAACCCCAACCCAAACTTTGAGAAGACTGGCCTTTACTCATTGAATGGTCTTGGCACCCTTGTCAAAAATCATTTGACCACACATGAAGTTTTGTTTCTGGGTTCTCTATTCTATCCCATCATGCTAACTATTCCCTTATGCCTGTCAGCCTCATTATTTTTAATAGCCCCAAAACAGAAACTTCCCAAACATCAATCAATGATAGAATGGATATATAGTGAGAGTAGCACTATCGAGTATTATACAGCACTGAGAGTAAACTAAGAGCAACAATATGGGTGAACTTCTCAAGCATATATTGAACAAAAGAAGCCAGACCAAAAAAAAAAAAAAAAAGAATGCTTATTTTACTATTTTTTTTTTACATAAAACATGAAAGCAGAAAATTTTAGTTTGTGTTTCTAGAATCCAAGAAGGGAGGGAAGCAGTATTGACAGGAAGGGGATCTGGCAAGGGAAAGAGGGGCTTCTGAAATGGTGATATCCCGTTATTGGATCTGAATGCACTCAATTAGTAAAACACATTGAACCAGATATTCAAGACTTGTTCATTTTTCTAGATGCATACAATGTGTGGATAAAATGTTATTAAAAATAAGAATCTATATGTATGAAGCAGTAGAAATGTTATTTAATTGCAAGAACCATTATTGTAGCCTGCAGATCATCACTTCCAGCCAATCAGGACTTGACAGTGCCCAGACCGTGCCAATTACATACATGGTATGGTTGTCAGCTGAAAAATAGCTCATGGAGTCCCCAGCAACTGCCACTACAGTTTATGTTGAGTCCATAAAGCTGATAAAAACTGAGTGCATTACCCATGGTTGGTGTCTAACAATAAAATAATAAGTTATACCTGTTGCTAATGTGTCTATGACTGGGAGACAGCATGACAAGGGCAGACAATTAAATCAGGATATGCAATAAGTTAATCCAGGGAGACTCTGGAAGAATCAAACTTAGCCTTATCCTTAACAGTCTCCAGGGAATTGCTCCAAAGTACCTCCAGCTGCAAGAGCCTCAGAGAAGATGCCTTTCAAATGTTTCACCCCTTTGTTCTCGTTCACAGGGGCTGCATCTCCTTTGCTACCTTCACACCTTTCAGATGATTCTGTCTGACACTTGTGAGTACTCACCATGTGCCAAATACTGCACCCAACTCTCTCTCTCTCTCTGTATCACCTCATGGACATCTGCCTAGTGACTCTGCAAGATAGGAACTATTTCTACCTTCATTCGAAGATAAGAAAACTCAGACTCAAAATGTGTATCATCTTGCTAGAGTAAAGCAGTAAATGATAGGTCTGGAATTCAAAATTGGGCTTTCAGACTCCACCTGCTGACCTAGTTACATAGTGCATGAGTGTATTACTCAGGGTTCTCCAGAGAAACAGAACCAATAGGATACATGATAGATACACACACACACACACACACACACACACACACACACACACACAAATTGGCTTACAGGGCTGTGGAGGTCAAGAAGTCCCAGGATCTGCTGTCTATACACTGGAGAAAGGAGAAAGCCTGTGGTGTAATTCAGTCCAATTCCAAAGGCCTGAAAAACAGAGGAAGTAATAGTGTAAGCAAGTCTCTAAGTCCAATGATGCCAGAACCAGAATCTCCAATGTCTGAGAGAAGAAGAATATGGATGGCCCAGCTCAAAGAATGGGAGAGGGCAATGAGGGAGGGTTGGGGGGGGGAGAAAGAATAAATTTCTTCATCCTCCCCTTTTATTGTATTCCAGCCCTCAATGGATTGGCTGATGCCCATCTATGTTGGTAAGAACAGATATTCACTTAGACTAATTCAAATGCTAATCTCTTCTGAAAACAACCTTACAGACCACATCCAGAAAATACGTTGTACTATCTATCTGGGCATCCTTTAGCCCAGTCAAGTTGACATGCAGAATTAACCCTCACACTGTGTATCCTGATTTGTCCCCAGCTACAAAGTACTGGGGACCCTGCTGAGGAAATTAGACCTGAAAAGACAAGAGGAGAATCCCTCAACACATATGCTGCTTCTCTGCAGCTCAATAATCATTGATTTTCCTGTCTTGTTCAACTAAGTAGAGACCAAGTCCTATTTATCTCAGAGTCCTCAATGCAGTGGACCGGGGGCTCAGAGTAAGCATCACACAGTGGCTGTCCCATAAATGTTTGTTGTCAGAGGGAGGAAGAAAGAAATGATTCCCTTGGCAGGAGACCAGGGAACAATCTAGAATCCATCACAACTGTCTGAACTCTACAGGGTTGGAGAGTCACAATCTCCTTCTGCCTAGGGATAGGAACCTGACAGCTGAGTTTAGAGGTGGCTTGGTGCTATTCATATCCAGTATTCATTTTAGATGCTGTCTTTATTTCAGATCCTGTCTATTTAAAGTTTTGATATTTTGTTCATCAAAAATTTTTTCATTAATTTTTTTTAAATAGTGCATTGATACACTATCTTGATGACTGAGTCTTCCACACACCCTTACATTTCCCTCTTGAAGCCAGTGTCTCGCTTTCCTCTCTCTAGCCTGGCATTGCCCAGTTTCTCTACTAAAGTCACACTCGGGACACAGCAATTTTGTGAGTGTAAGCGATGTGCTCTTCACTCATAACCAGAGTTCATGCCCAGAACATTGGGCTCTGATACCCTGGAGCAGTGGAAACGAATTTGTTGGCAACTCCTCACCAGACTTGAACAATGTTTTGGTGCTTAATTAAATTCCAAGAACACCTGTTTCATCAGCTTATAAATTCCAACTGAATTTTAAGCAGCTTCTGTTTGGCATGCGGAGTCTTTATTTTCTAGGCAGTAACCACAGCAACATTTCCCCTGAATATCCATCCTTTGCTCCTGCCACACACACCTCACGCCTTCCCAGGGCCTTTTGCAAGCATGGAGAGACCTCCCCTCCCCCAACCTGGCCTTCAGACAACCCTTCAGCTCTTGGGAGGTTGAAGAGGCAGCAGAACAGCACACTTTCATATCTTTACTCTTCTTGACAATTCACCTAAAGTTTGGGCATTTGCATGAGATCACATGCTACCTACCACCTTGTAACTGAAATAGCTGCCCCTTTTTAAAAGCATCTCTAGACCATATGCCAAGCCTGAGGCTGGGCCTCACACATATTTGCTCTCTCTGAGCTCAGTCCCCTGCTTGGAGAACCAGAATGACCTGCACCCCGCAGCAGAGCTGTAGGGACTAAGCAACTGTCCCTGAGGCCCCGCTACTACGGTGGAGCAGGGTTCTGCAGCTAGGCCCTCCAGACTCTAAAACCTACCTGCTTCATCAACTTGGGGTTCTGGGGTCAACAGGGATCACCTGGGGATATAGCAATGAGTCAAAGTAAAAAATGGAAGCAGTTAGGATGCATGGATACCATCACCTGTGAAGGCCCCCAGGAGGGGTGTTATTGGATGACCCTCACCTACACTGAGATTCAGCCCAGTCCTGAGTGAGGAGATCCAGAGACAGACGGTGCAACAGTAACACCTGGGCACCTGGTCAGGCCCATTCTACACGCCTGTCCTAACTCTTCGAGGCCTGGGTTCCCTTTTTTAGAAAAATGGGGATAACAATTTCTATGAGCCTGAGGTTTGAGTTTGAAGAATGAATATAAAGTGTTTGCCCTAGAACCTGATATGTAAATACTTTATATTAATGTTTTACGTATTCCTGTTTTATGTAAATGTAAGAGCACAATAAATATTCAACTGCTATTCTTAGTATGTGCATTTAGAGTGGTTTTGCCGTGCCATCCCCAATAACTTCCCGGCATCTCCACGACCAGTGCTAAGCCCCTCACGGGTCCTGGCAGTCAGCTCACACCCTCCATATGCTTCTTTCTCCAGGCCTTCAGCTTGCCTTTCCCAGTCCACCAGCTGTCTGCCGTGCCCGCTCCTCGCCTGACTTTAAGGGCATCCGTAAGCCCATCTTCTCTGTCGAGCCCTCCCTGACCATCCCCTTGCTCAGCAACCTTCCTCTGTTATACTCCTCACCCACACTTGCTGCCTTGTTCTCCCACTCAGGGGACACAGCTGAATGCCACCTTCCCTTGGTTGTCCTTCTGTGGATAGTAACAGACTGTGGACCATCCAAAATCCAACCCAGCTGAGGCCATTCCTGCCCCAAACAGGTGTCATGCACTTTGTGCCAGAGTCCAGGGCTAGAACAAGAGCACAGCAGAGCAGATGCAAAACCCATGCTTATGGGGTTTAGTGTCCAGGGAAGAAGATGATTATAAACACGTTATCAGGAAAAAAAAAACTATCGGCTTATAAATTGTGATAAATGCAATAAAAGTAAAAGAGCTGTCTGGGGATTGATCAATATTCCCCCCCTCCCCACACCAGTTGAAAGCAGAGGACCCAGCCCTCTAAGGATCACTGTCCTTGACAAATCCTAAGCCACTGTCTCCAAGTACAAAACCCTCCTTCACTTCAAGGTAGGAAAAGACCCAGTGGGCCTTCTGCCTTTGTCTGTTCTTTGGCAAAGGCATGGTTTGTTGTATGGCCCAGAAGTTCCTGGGCCCAGGCTCCCAAGCCCTTCTGGTTTGGCGCTTGCCTTGGGCTTGCCTCTGAGCCTCAGGAAGGGAGCAGCTCATTTGGGATTCTGGCTGGGCCTCCAGGAGACAGCAGCCTTCAGATTCTCTTTAAATCACTTTTTTTTTTTCAAACAAAAACAGTAGTGGGGTTTCTGAAAACTACAAAACTCAGAAGAGTTGTGAAAAATAAGATACTGCATGCAGAAAACAACAGGAGGGCCCTTGCCTGGGTCCCCTCTGGTAAACAGCCCCAGTCTGAAGGGAGTTTCCCAGCTTGCTGGGGATCAGTGCAGTTTTGTTTTTCTATTCTGATCAGAGCGCCAGGGAGGGATCTGGGGTAAGCCTGACAACTCCCTCTTTCTTTCTCCGTTGGCAGGCAGCCCCCTTCCTCTCACCTTCGCTCTTCAGTCTAACTTGCCATTCACTTGCTCATTCTGGCTGTTTCTCTCTCTGGACTGTGGCTGCTTTGTGTGCAAGGGCCAAGACTGACCCTCCTCTGACAGGCCAGCCCTGATGATCCCGGAAAGGGCTCACTTTCTAAACAGCCTGTTAACCCTACAGTGAGTCCAGCTGAGCCCGGCTCCAGCTGCAGACCCTGATCTGTTTCTGGCCCTCCCCTTCCCAGGAAGCCCAAGACCCAAGCAAGCACTCAGCCTCAGTATTACCAGCTGGAGCGCAGGCCTGCTCCACACTGCTGCCCTCCAAACCATTTCCTAGGTCTATTACATCTGCTGCTTCCCTGTCTCCTCTAGGTCTGCTGGGCTTCATTTCATCTGCTCCTGTTCATACAATGCTGTGCAGATTGCCAGGCAAGCCAAACTCCTGGTCATGCCTGTCGGATGCACTTGGGAGAACCGGGTCTTCGAAATCAGAGAGGCTTGCATTATAATCCCCAGCAACTCTCTTAGAAGCTCAACTTCACCTTGACCATCTGCAAATACAGGACCCCATACAGTTAGAAAATAAAGAAAAAAATATTATACACATTAAAGACATCCTTAATGACATTATATATAATCACTTGGGACTTTGAGATTTCATGGACATCCTGCAGTGATAATAGCACCAGGAACAAAATTACTCTGAAGATTAAAGGGATTAATATATGCTAAGTGCCCGAATTCCTGCCAGGTCCTTAGAAAAGTCCCCAAAAATTCTGGGTCCTCTTCCTCTGTACCCAAATTGTTCTTTTTCCCATTATAAGATATGTATCCCACAGCTACCTACCTTGTACCTTCTCACCCTCATGCTAAGTCATCTTGATTCTAGCATTTTCCACCTTTTTTGCAACAATCCCTCAGAAATATCCACTTGAGGGTGAGCAAAATCAGAGCCAGTTATTAATCATTTTTGCCCTGTCTTGAGTTCCCATGGAGCTTAAGATTTTTACAAAAGCATATCTTGGCAGTTACAACTATCTCATGTTAAAATTAAGAAGTCAAAATGCTTACTTCAAAGAAGCCCAAATTTCTGGCAACAACTTGTACCTTGTCTATTAGGAGAAATGAGTGGGTCTCTACATGACTCGGAGCCTCTGCGGAGGTTTGGTTCAGATTGTCTCCAAATACACAAGAAGGTACATTTTTTCCAGCCCCAGAATTTATCAGCATCAACTCCATCTGCAAACCTATTATTTACGTATGCTGTACATTACTTCAAAAAATTATAACTCTGCTTTGTAACTAGGCTTTCCTTTTGCTTCATTCAAGGGCTGTGGGTCTAATCAGTGTTGCAGAAGGGGTTGTTGGAGAGCCTGTGACAAAGGTTTTGTAATGATTGCTCTGCCAAGGAAGTAACCAAATGCATTCCAGTCTTGTTAAAGAGTACAGAGCTGATGAAATATACATGTGAGATCAATGGGAGAACTGCTCAAACTTGCTTGGGTTTTTAAACCACTTAGTTAGACTCACCTCCAATAATAAAAGACTCAGAGGTTGTTTCAATGTTTTGCTTCTCAAAGGCAAGATACATGTACATCAGTGCATGTGCTGCTCACCCTTCTCCATTTTAAACCTCTACTTTTCTCTGCTTGAGGACCATGATAAACCACCAGGTGATGGCTTCTAAGTTCAGGATGGGAACATGGGACCTATTTTGTAGATATTAGTAAGACCCCTAGGAAGCTGCCTTCTCAGTA